TTCTTCTACTTCGAATATCAAGTTTCTCGCAATCTGTCTTCTTCCTGTATTAGCCATCAGAGTGTTTGATGTGGTATGTGTAAATGACTGTTGCCGATTTGAAAGGAAAACAATTGTATTAGAGCAGTTCAGACGTTTTTGTTCCTAAATCCGTAAATATCTTAGGCCCGTATTAAAATCCTACTAGTAAGGTATAACACTGTGATCGTGTGGGCTGTGTTAACTTGAGCTAACTCACTTCTGCACTAAATCTTTCTTTGTAATTAAATAACTCACTGACATCCCTATCATTAAGTTGTGAATTTAAAAGTTCTATTAATAGGCCTATCCAGGAGGTATTTAGTTAAATTATTTTACTTAGATTATATATTTTTACAATCGAATACATTGTTTGTTGATTGACAGGAATTCATCATTAAAGAACCAAGTCATTGTTTCTGTTTCTCAGTTGACCAACTTTTATACACAACAGTCATATTTGTTTAATTTCACTAAAACTTTATGTAACACAATTAATGTCATTCGTTTAATACGAAAATCTATGATCGATAGTATTTGGTTGGTAAAATACATAGAGCTTGTAAAGCACTTGTGCACCCTGAATTTACATATATATATATATATATATATATATATATATATATATATATATATAAATTCTTATTTTATTGGGTCATGACCCTTATGCATACACCATTTACATATCATCATGTTTCTAAACTCGGAAACGTACTTATTTCACACATTTTTTAAAATTTCATTCCATTTTTCGTATACACCAAGCTCCAAGGCACTATCGAGTCGGTCTGCACAGGATGCACAAATGCCACAATAGACTGAATATTTGTAGGCATAATCATCGATCTAATAATATAATATATAATATAGTAATATAATATGTCTTCTTCTATCTAGTCTATCATAATAGTATGTAAGCTAAATATTCATTTTATGCAATCGGTTTAATTTCTATTTGAACATTGAATAAAGCAATGTTCGCTATTGACTATTTGTAATCACAGATGTTTTGAAAGACTTTTCATCAACTTTTCGGTAATTCAATATAAGTCAATGTGTAGTGGGTTCATAATGAGTAAATATGTGATTGTCCGTGAGAATTTATCAAGATAACAAAGCACTAAATAAATGATAATTTGCATAGATTGTTTGGATAGGATGGAATGTGTGTCCACGACTCCACTTTTAGCCACCATCCATCTTAGCTTATAATTCTTGTGACTTAAAACAATTTCGATAGAATCTGCACAAGATGTACAAACGTCACAAGAAACTGATCAATTGTAGTCCTAAACATCAATAGGAAGATTAAAACAACCAATGCATAAGCCAGTGGCTATCTCTACTCAGTAGCCAAGTGGATAACTCGATGGTGTTTGAAGCGAACGGTACTGGGTTCGAGCCTCGGAGTAAACATCAACCTTGGGATGCGAGTACATCTAAGTGACGAGTGCTAAATGGGACGAGACGCCTATCCTGGGTTTCACTGCTAGCCACCATCCATCGCTGCTTACGATGTTTTTTTTAAAAATATTGTTTGGATTTCTATTACTTACAATATAATTTCTCGTTTTGTTGATTTCCTCTCACTGTGCCAACTTGATATATGATATAATGAACTCGGGTTGCAGGTCATACGTTAGTGATGACTAACTGACTCTCTATATTCTTCACAATCTTACATTATAGGTTGTTAACTCTTAATTAATGGTAGAGTCGTAACGTGTAATTTTTAAAATGATAAAATGTAGTAATGTCAACTGTGTTAAATTTACGTTGAATGCAATTTTTAAACACAAATTTATTTACATATCGATGATGAACGGCCCTTGCAACTACTAAGATTCAATACGTGACAATTAGTTTCTATGATTTGAAAAAAATGTTTCGTTTCATTAAATAGTTAGGGGTATAGCCTCAGTATTGTTTTTTGAATATAATAATTCACTTTGGAGTTTCTAAAAATTATTTTACTCGAAATGGTTTACAAGGAGATATATACATCTTTGGGATTTTTGTAATAATACAGCATATTTATACCAGTCACATTATTTAATGGTTTTATCGTAGTGATGATTTATTATACAGACATTCATAAACATCGAATAATATGGGATTGTATGTATTGTTTTATGCTATAATAATATGTGATTATGTATCTACTTGGAATATTTGACCTATACGTTGTATAAATTAGGTTAAATTACATATCTTGTGTATTTGTTTAATGTTCAATAACCAATCATTCGGGGAATAAATAATCTTTTATGACCTACAGAAGGTGAATTGATTTGTTTTGGTAAAATAGTTAGGGTTATCATTTCTTATTCAAACAATTAGATTTTGTTTGTACTTTTAACTTATAATGAGTATCTTATTTCTGTAGTTTGAAATTTATTTATCTCTAATAGTCAAACATGAATAAGATTATGTTTGGGCTTTTCATTTATTTTATGTAAAATACATTCTTAACATTAGATGGTGGTTGGAGGTAGTCGACAGGAAACCCTGGACCCGGGTTTCGTGCTACTTGGCACTCGTCAGCAAGGTGTACCTGTCGACTACCTCCTACCACCATCTAATCCCAATATATAGTACACGCAGTATCGAGTCACCTAGACTGGTGGCTATAGCGACTCACGTGCAAATGGGTTTATTTTCATTTAACCCAGTTAAGCCCTTTTTGTTAACTTATTTAGCGGACAAAGCCATCCGCGCTATGACAATTTATTGTATCCTTATTATTATTTTGCGCTTGTATGAAGTACGTATGCTTGAATATTGACTACTGCCTACGCATTTATTCACTCTGCTAATCTTACCACTAACCGCTTATTCGATTCGATTACTCATTTATTTTCACATGGTATATATATGTCCATGTTATTCATATTGAACACACAATCGCTCACTCGCTCACTCGCTCGCACGGTCTCGTCACGCTCTTCCTCTGGCTCTCGTTCGCTTGCTTGCCTTTCGGCACAACTCTTCTATGCTTGTTTAACACATCTGTACATTTGGATATATGTGTGTGGTTTCGCAATAAACGTAATCGACACTTCGTATTGGCCTTCTGATTAATATACCGTTGGTACGTTATATAGAACGGTTATCGCGACGAGCTGTATACGAAGTTTAAGGATTATATCAAATACCGACCACCACATGGCCACATTGCAACATGGTCGATAGCATTCGATCTTTAATAAATAAGGACTTGACACGCATGACACTGATCAGCACCTAGTGATCAATCAATTGTGATTACATTTTTAACATTTTTATTCATAGAAATATCCTATTTTAATCACATTCAAGAAGAATTACTAAGGATAACGCCCTCAAACTAATTTTTATTGTATACTTCTGAATTTTTTATGGCTTGTCAAAATGTCGAATGAATTTAAACCTTTGAGAGTTTAGAAAGTTTTGTTCTAGTTGTGTAGTAATTAAAAATTGCTTTTATATTCATTTTGAATCGTTTCATAATGGAAACTTATTTTCAAAATTATGAACATGGAAAAACCATAACTTAGTTTCTGTTTTCAAAATTATCATAACTATAATCATTATTCCAATAGTTGAGATCATGAGTCAATTGAAGCTAGACCACCATAAAAAACCTGGAAGCACTAGACGGCCATTCCATCCTATTGTGAGACTCCTCAGCAGAGATGGCAACTCACTTAAGATAATGATGGATGTGTCGCTCAATTTCGTGGATTACTTGAAGTTAGACATTAACACCGCTGAATGCCTGTTCAGTGGTTTAGTGGTTAAGCACTCGCGCGCAAGACTGGTAGGTCCTGGGTTCAAATCTCACGAGGCGGGGTTGTGGATGCGCACTGCTGAGGAGTCCCACAATAGGAAGGTTTGGCCGTCCAGTGCTTCCAGCTTTTCCTTGGTGGTCTAACTTCAATTGATTCGTGATCTCAAGTATTGAAATTACTACAATCCCCACAAAACCTCTTCTGATACAATCATTATTAATTTACTGTACTAATTATATAACAAGGTATTTGAATATTGACTTTTCTTCTATTTGAATAGTCAGTATGAATATTCTTTTATGGAATTACGAACTAATTGTAATTCGATCAGACAATGTGAAAGATGACCTTTCTAGATCAATGTTGGTAATTATACTGAGTGACAAGTAAGATCATTAGAACATGACAATTAGTTAGATTTATAAATTTAAGAGAAATCAAAGTGCTCTGAACAATCGTGATACATCACTGACTGTTACAATATCTGAATTAATGATTTGGTTATTTATTAGAACTAATAAATGTTATTGGATGTTCTTTCTAAAAACTCTATTATCATTATTCTATGTTAAAAATTCTTAATAATGTGCTTTGAAGTACCTGTAATCTTACAGATTACTGAATAGATTATTACGTAATCATTTATTACCGTTCGTAAAGTCAAAATAATGTTTCAATAACTTAAACACTTGCCTATCATTTTCCCCAGTATTTATCATAGAATTAAGATGAGAATTCGGGGTGATTATTTGATCCAAAATTAGCGTTCAGCATGAACATGATACTAAATGATGAGCCATTAAAAATCATGGGTTATTGGACTAATGAAATTCTAGTTGCATTTAGACTGAGATGAATTTCACTTATGACACTAAGTGAGGATTGAACGATGTAATGGTAATCGGTCGGAGATTGGAAAAATATGTCCGAGCTACTGGTCAAAAATGTATCGTTTTCCATTCTCAGCCAGAAGGTCCTTGATTCAATCTTGAATGTTGTCGTGGATAAGAATTGTCAATAACTCCCGCACTATGACAAGATATTTTCTTAGCCTATCCACTAATTTCCGATGGTTCTGTGGGTGATGTCAGTTCATAAGGAAATCAAATATCTACTTTAGTTTCCCCTATAAGCATAATTTAGTCAGTTTTTAAAAAAAATATGTGTTTTGTTAGTAAAGTGGCAATTGTTTAATATATTTCATAATTTTAGATCTGTGGTTCATAGTGCAGTACGTAATTTAGCTATAGTTTATCAACGTCAAGGTCTACAATCTCATGCTAACTTATTGCTTGAGTGGCTTCAAATGGCAATTACTGATTGTAGACCACGTTTAAATCATACGTCTTCATTGGCCAGTTCACCGATAAAATGCACACAATCAGTCCATGGTATCAACTCACATGTAAGTTTTATCGTTCTACGTAATAAATCATTTTTTTGATGAAATGTCAGGATATATACATCGTCATACAATTTAACTGTTTAATTAAAGCTTTTTCCTTGTATGTAAATGACAATGGTTATTCTATGTTTTATAAGCAATTCCTGTTGAATAAACATTCATGGTGTGAGGACGGCCCATGGGTGAACTCGAGGAATCTCTAAGAAGCTCAGAAAGAGCCGAAGGCATTCTATCCAATCATCTTTTGGAAGATCATTCCAGAATCTCGACATATAGCTTCCCTATTGGACAAATGCTACAACCACTGTATACGGATTGGATGACTATAATGATGATTTCACTTTTACTAAAAACTGTAAATACCTGATAGTTATGTACCATATTCGACACTGTTCGGAATAGCATTCCTTCTCACTCGTCTTCTGTCTTCTCGCTCGCGACTTTTGAGGATTCTAGCGTTCGAGTGCTCAAGTTGTACGCGGTATATCAAGAATCTAAGCTCCAGATATGACACTTGATCTCCATAATATTCGGTAAAACGTTGGATTTTTAAATCCTTTTTCAAATTAACCTATATTAAATGAAAGAACCGTTAACTTATATTTAGATCAGTATATTTCATTTTATCTAATAAATTCTGAGGATTTCCATTCTGAAGCAAAACAGGTTCTTTGTACTCCCTTATCTTCAATAGCACCTTAATTAAAATCAATGTGTGCTGAATATTGCCTACAAATGATCTTGTTCTCTGTTAAGTCCATGTGTAAAGTATATGGTATTATTTGTTTCCATTAGAACTGTTTATTTTAATTTTAGTTATCAAGTTGTGTAAATAGTAGAATAACGACACTAATTGCTTTGATACTAGTGGTTGAAAATGGACAACAGTAAACCCTAGATCTGGGATTCGGGTTATTCAAAACTTTTCAACAATGTGTATCTGTGATTTCGAATTCGATTGGAGATCAAAGGTATATCTTGGTGATGATTTCCATATATTACGAAACCTCGGTTCAGGGTTTCCTGTCCACTGCCTTCAACCACCGCCTTACCATACCGTAGCATTTAGGAATGTCATGATACTTTCATAGGTATACTTCTACTTGGATTATTTTACCTAGTTATAAATACAAGCCGTTAATTTTTTGCTCACATGACATCAGATTCAAAGTTTAGCTTACTGTGCTAACCAAAGATATGCAACCAGTTATCCTGACTTTTCTTTCCAATCTTCAAATATACTATAAACCGTAAAATGTTTCGTAAGTAATTAGTTATATTTTATAGTGAATTTGATCATATATTCACTCTTTTAAGATTGTATGATGTATACGTCGATGCTTAAAATGTAAATTACCCCTAACGAAGTATGAAAATAACCAGCGGAAATAGAAGAAATGGAATAAACACTGGAGAAAAGATTTATGATTTTTTTAATCACTAGGATGAAATAAGTTACTTAATCGTTAACATTTACATTCCTTCCAATATAACAGGGTTTTTGAAATTATTATTAGTAAAATTTTGTTAAAAGAAGACACTCAGTACTCTAATGTAATGATAAAGTAATCAATAATTAAAATATATTTCAACAGTTGAATTCATGAGTCGATCTAAGCTAGACCACCATTGAATACATGGAAGAATCACTGAAACATTTACTGTCTCAGCATAAATTTACTACCTATGATCTGTAACATATTCGAATCATTGAAACAGTAACACAGAATTCAATTACACATGTTCACAAAGTCTTCATTGATTCTTTCAACTAATTCCCACTAAGCGAGAAGACTTATATAGTTTTTCTTTAAAGCTTTATCTAGTAATGATACAGTGTAAATTGTTTGAGTTTGTATGGAAGAATTTTGTAATGATTTTTACTATTCGAAATACTAACTGGTTGGTTTTATACATATGGAACATTACATTTTTCAATGTGAGTGTGTGAAATATCCTAAATCATCGCAATAATTAATAATTATCTTCTTGGATTTCTTTATTTCTGTTATTCCAACAAAAAGAAATACCATCTTTCAGTGTCATTTAGTTCTCTCCTTTTAGATTTACACATTTGTATGCATATCGATTTTATGTGTATGCTAGCACTCTTAGAATGAAACTAACTGGAAACAATAAATAATGTTTCTTTCTGTTAACTTATGACGCGGTACACTGTTTCTTTTTCTTTTGCAATGTATTTATAAACGACAAGCCTTACCAACCTCCTTCTTTCTCTCTCTCTCACACACACTAGGTTTAACTAAAATTTCGTTTACTTGTTTTTATGCATTTTATTGATGTTCCTGTTCACAAAGTAGGAGATAACTAACTAACTACCAACTTATTTGCCTATCTGTCCACATGTATATAATGTACGTTTGTATCGTTTTGGGTGTTGTTTATTTGTAGACACACAAAAAAGTCATATTATTTCTACTTCTTTAGTTCTGCTTTTTTTTCAAAACGTTCACCTGGTTGTTGTTGTCTTTTATTGAACAAAAAGCTTAGAATTTATGTAGTTTAGCAAAAGTTGTTTATGTTTAATCGTCTTATTATCTATAAACTTATTCATCTCCTTTTTCATACATAAATGATGTGTTTAAGGCAGATAAACACACTCAATTACTTCACTCCCTATCGTCAGTTTAGGTGTGAATTAGTTGAGCTTGTCTATCACTTCATTTAACTTGTAAGATTCACCATTCTTGATCAACTGATATCTGACGAGATCCCTAGCATTAATCCAGGAAACTTAGTTGGCTTTGCCAACTTGCGTTTCCATCTGTCAACTAAAAAAAACCAGTTTTCTGCATATCAGTTCGCTTCTTTCTACTTAATGACTTTGAGACGAGACCTCCATAATAAGGGATATTCGTAGGTGGTCACGATTTCATCATAGGTTTCTTTGAAACATTCCTCGCATATTTTGGGTTCGTTGAGATGACAATTCTGAGGTTACAAGCGGAGTACTAGGTAAGAATGGCAAATCGGTTGACGAGGTATTGAGCCACTATTGACTGAAATGGTCAGTGTATGTACTAAGTATGGCTATCCTTTGATTGCCTCGATGCACTATGATGACTGATATCTAAGTAGGTTGGAAAAAAGCTCGGGGAGGCCAAACCAAGATATAGAATCAGTCCATGAATACGCTGTTGGACTGACGCATTTAAGTTGATGCAGACCACCTGGTTGAAGTTCACGTAATTACCTTAACCATTGGTTAAAGATTTTAGGTGACGTGGCTCGCAATTGCTCAGATGCATTTCTTCTTTGTTTTCCCCTAGATCCCAAGTTTTTAAATTACTCTATAATCTTCCTATTTCACGAATCCACATTTTCTTATGCAATTGCATCTTGGATGCTTAACCTTTTCCACTACCACTAGCATTGTTACTACCTGTCCGGAAAATTTCATCTCTCTATACTAATTAGGAGTGGTAAATTGAACCGATGTACACATATATGTCAGGTTCTTACTTAATTGATTTGTCGGTTTGTCATTGGATAATGTTGGGACATTGCTTTAATATGGCTGTCGCTTTTGTTTGTGTGTGATCTCTATATGGTCATATATTTTCCTTCCATGGTATAAGCAACAGACAAGTGACGACCGCCCACATCTGACAAGACGCGAGATCATATATTTTTCTTATCTATCGATTTTCACCATATTTTATCATTTATTTATTGATATTGTTTTCTTCCCGTTCTAATGTGATAATCTGTTGTTTTGTTTGTTTTAACTAAACATTATCAACTTTGTGCACAATATATTGTTGTATGACATAGCTAGCTGTATGTCACCAAAATTAATTAAATTAATAAATCGAATGTATATGTGCGTGTATGATTTTGCACAAATAATCGTCTGTACTCAGCTTTAAACAATACACTTTTTTGTTTAAAGACTAATGATTCTTGAGATGGTAATAGTCGGAGTTATGTTTTCTACGAATTTGTGGCTTAGTGTTTGAAATTTAAGCGGATATCTGAATAATACCAAGTTTTTCTTGCATTCAGATCGATTGCACAGTATGGGACACATTTCAGTCGAAGTTAAAAATTTGTATTAAGCATGATATATGACTATTTATTTATAGACAACTTAGACTACGTAACAATTTGGTTTGTTGTTTTACTGTTAGAAAATATAGTCACTGAAAATGAGGACTTGCCTATATTGCTTACAAACAATCATTTATAATATTCTAATTGGGTTATTAATAATTTAACTCATGGAAGAAATCAAAGTAGTATGAAATTTATTGAACCTTATTAATGTTATATTTAATAAATAGAACGTTATTATGAAAAATAAAATAGTTACTCATTAACCAGCTGTATTTTCTAATATCTTCAACTAAAAATGTATTCTAGTTCAGGGATATTGACAAATGTGCTTATTCGGACATTCCACATTGTCTGTTCATTAATTAATGAACAATATCATATTTTTCTTTGTCCTTAATACTGACACAATCAGTTGGCAATTCGTGTCCATCAGAATGGGATGTGCTTTGCGAATTCGAAGTGCCGAATACTTTTACAAAACTGAAAGGACCCTGAACCTTCACTCTCCATCGGTAGTGAGCGTATAAAAATAGTCGAGAAGTTCGTGTATCTGGTTAGCTGCATAAGTGCTGGTGGTGGCGTGAGTGAAGAGATCAACTCATATATAGTAAAAGCCAGGGTGGCTATTTTGGGCGACTTCATGATGTTAGTCTGGCTGTAAAAGGTTGTATCTACAATGCGTCGTTGAGAGCAGTCTTGCTCTATACTAGTGAAACCTGACCTCTCTAAGTTGAGGATGTTAGACGACTCTCTGTGTTTGATCATCGTTGTCCCCGAAGGATTGCTGACATCCAATGGTAACACCAAGTTAGTAATGCAGAGGTTCGGCATCATGTGTTCGGGCGCAGGGACGATAATCCAATTGGTGTCCCTATCTTGAAACATCGACTTTGGTGGCTTGGACATGTTCTACGAATGTCGTC